TGGGTACAGGTCACTTCAGGATGGGAAGCAGAGATAAAGTTTCTTGACACATTAAATGACTACTTCTTGGAACAGCTAGTCCTGGAACCCACAAGAGGAGAGCCAATTCTTGATTTAGTCCTAAGCAGAGCACAGGATCTGGTCCAAAGGGGGCATATAACTGAACCACTTGGTAATAGTGACCATAATATAATTAAATTTAACATCCCTGTGTTGGGGGAAACATGACAGCAGCCCACCATGGTAGCATTTAATTTCAGAAAAGAGAACTACACAAAAATGAAAAGAAAGACATTTGGATTCTTCCTTTTTGGCTTATGATTTTTGTGGGGGGGGGCATTTCAAGCTTTTCTCTGTAACAATGAAGGCTTCCACCCCTGCATGGAAACCTCCAGTGACAGATAGCAACTCACCAAGTGGAGAAAGGTAAGATGGCAAAACACCAGGGGAAGAAAAGATCAGTAATAAGTCAAAGGATTTTTTTTTTAATTGCAAGAGTCTATTTTAGTCTATTTCAGACAGAGAGTCTGGACTCCTGAGTTCCATCCCAGACTCTGTCACTGAACTGTTTGGGGAGCCTGGACAAGTCACGTCATGCTCCCGTGCCTCTGTTTCCCCTCAAACATTTGTCTGTTTGGAGTGTGAGCTCGCTGTGGGCGGGCCTGTTTCTCCCTGTGGGTCTGTGCAGCACCTGGCACAACGGGGCCCCTGAACTCAGTCATGGTCTGTGCAGCACCCAGGAGCCCCTGACCTCTGACAAGAGGACCCACAAATAATTTCATCCGGCTCCATCCAGAGCAGATGAGGGGAGGGGATGGGAGTAGCTGGAAGGGGGAAGATCCAGGGAGCAGTGATTGGAGGGTGGGGGCAGAATGAGATCCAGTGAGGCACCTTTGGGGGTTTACCTCATATCCTTACCTGTGTCTTGGGCGGATGCAGCGCCTCAGAGTCGACCCCCGCCCCAGGTCCCCAGTGCGATACCTGCAGCTCACCCAGCCTGGCTTAGCCCAGAGAAGGAAGCCGTTCATGTGGGGGTATATCTGGGGGGGAACAACGTGGAGAGATCACAGGACGTGGCCGGGTCCGATCACGTCTGCAAAGCCTGGAAGGTCTTCGTCACCCACTGCTACATGCAGACATCACTCCAACCACAAGCTCCCCCCACCCTGCCACTGGGCCTTAGCAAGGTGTCTGCATTTCACTGCCGACATCCAGGGGCAGGCAGGCGGGGCACCCACAGAGAGCAGGGACTGAGACAGTCCACATCCAGCCAACTCCCCGGGGTGATGTGCCAGGAGCAGAGACGCCAGCTGGGACTTTGTCCTCCAGCCCCTCCTGGCTGGGGAAAGTGAACAGAGCCCCGCTGGGAGTCAGACACGTGACATTCTCAGCCCTGCCTTTGCTGCAGGGACCCCACCCCTCGGCCCCAGGCCACGTTACAGGCCAGCCAACGCTAAGGAAACCCTCGCTCTGTGCTAGAGACCACACAAACCACAGCACAGCCTCCAACCTGCCTTAGTCTCTCGTCATTTGCCTGGAGGCCTCAGGCGTGGGGACTCTTTTCAGCTCAATGTGAGCTCCCAGAGCCAACAGGGCTCCAGCCACCCTGGGATGCACCAACAAGGGAGTCTCAATTTGGAGCAGGGAGGTGATTTTCCCTCTGGATCTGGCCCTGGTGTGACCGCCACTGGGATCCTGTGTCCGGTTCTGGCGCCCACCCTTCGAGAAGGATGTTGAGCAACTGGCGAGGGGACAGAGAAGAGCCACGAGAAGGATTAATGGACTGGACCCCAGGTTTGACAGAGAGAGACTCCAGGAGCTCAGTCAGTTCAGTTGATCAAAGGGCACGTCTACACTGGGAAGGCTGCACCGATGCAGGGACAGGAGAGCTTCTCCCATCAGCGTCGTTCATCCACCCCCCCCGAGAGGCGGGAGCTGCGTTGACGGGAGAAGCGTTGTCTATACTGGGCGTTCGGTCAGTGTAACAGCATCACCCGGGGGCGGCGGGGGGGGTTCCACATCCCCAAGCAAAGTAGTTGTACCATTAGAGTTGCCTAGTGTAGACCCAGCGAAAGGGAAGGGGACAGGGTGGCGCGATTACCAGCAGTAAATACCTACAGGGGGAACCAAGATTTGATAATGGGCTCTTTGATCTAGCATACTGTCATAACTATAAAGGGAAGGGTAACCACCTTGCTGTATACAGTGCTATAAAATCCCTCCTGGCCAGAGGCAACATCCTGTTACCTGTAAAGGGTTAAGAAGCTCAGCTAACCTGGCTGGCACCTGACCCAAAGGATCAATAAGGGGACAAGGCAAAGTTTGTACCTTGGGGAAGTTTTTAACCTAAGCTGATAAGAATAAGCTTAGGGGGTCTTTCATGCGGGTCCCCACATCTGTACCCTAAAGTTCAGAGTGGGGAAGGAACACACACAAAGGTCTAACAGATCCACTGGCTGGAAGTTGAAGCTAGACAAAGACACAGATTCACAGTTGACAAGCCCAGAAGGTGCCATTGTGATTGTGACGAGCTCCCCCTGGGGTGCCACTTGGAACTGGGGTACCATGGAGCCCGTGTGATCCACCAGCCTGGGTTCCCATTACATTGTACTGCTGTGCAGCCTTTCAAATCCTTCCCCAGGCTTCAGACTGCACTTGCAGGTAGGGACACACCCAGCTGCAACTATACACACAAATGCTGAGATCAGCTATTCATGAGAAGGCTCAGCTAAGGAATTGCCCAGTACTCAAGTGCCCACCTCCCTTTAGAGGGTAAACCCAAAATTGTACCATCTTCTGCTGCACAGAGAACTGTACAGTGTAAGCTCATGAAATGCGCCCCCTCCCTCAATGTGGAGAGAGATATACACAGCTTTCTGCCCCAAGTTATAATTTCCATACACTTTTTTTAGACAAAAAAATGAGTTTATTGACTACAAAAGATTATAAGTGATAAGTGATAGCAAACAGATCAAAGCAGATTACCCAAATAAACAAAAACCACAAACTGAACTTAACAGACTAGATAGGTAGGATATGAATTAGCAAATTCTCACCCTGAGTGATAAACAGGCTGGCAGATTCTTAAGGCACAAGCTGCCTTGATTTTCCCAGGTTTTTATACACAGACTAAAAATCCCTCTAGCCTGGGACCATCACTTCCCACAGTTCAGTCCTTGCTCCTCAGGTGTTTCCAAGTGTGTTGTTGTACGAAGAATGAAGTACCATCATGATGTCATTGTCCCCCTTTTATATCTTCTTCCCACTTGCTGGAAAGCTCTTTTCCTGTGACCTGGGTCAAACAGTTCCCATTGTGTAGTGCTATCTCTGAGAGGTTTCTATTGTACACAGTTCCTGGGATAATCCTTGTCCTTGTGTGCATTTCCTCAGTAAGCCATTCACATTGTTTAGCCTTTTTACTGCTGTACCTGAAAGGCTGCTTTTGGGAGTTTTCAACCTCACAACATGTTTCAGTAACACACACAGAGCCAAACTTCATAACTTCACGTACAACGACAGCACACACAATCCAATGAGCTATTACTGTCTAACAGATCAAGACTTTTAGAACAATACCACACCTGACATACTTTGTACAAAACATATCCTAATTACATTCAGTGGTGACTATTGGGGTGCTAAGTTGTCACAGTGATCATCTCCTCTGACCTTCTCTGCAGTATGGTCCCTACAGCTTCCCCAAGCTAATTCCTAGAGCAGATCTTTTAGGAAAACGTCCAGTCTTGCTTTAAAATAGTCAATGATGGAGAATCCACTGCACCCATTGCTAAATTGTTCTGATAGTTAATTATGCTCACCATTAAAAATTGACACCTTATTTCCAGTCTGAATTTGTCTAGCTTCAACTTCCAGCCATTGGACACATTAGACCTTCCTCTGCTGGATTAAAGAAACTGTTCTTGAATATTTGTTCCCCGTGTAGATACTTATTGACTGTGATTAAACTTCTCTTCATGAAACTAAATAGATTGAGTGACTCACTATAAGCCATATTTTCTAGTGCTTTAATCATGCTCATGGCTCTTCTCTGAATAAGTCATCAATTTTTAACAGTGAGGGGAATCAATCATTGGAACAACTTCTCAAGAGTCGTGATAGATTGGCAATTTAAAAATTAGGGTGGGATTTTTTTCCTGAAAGATCTGCTGTCATTCAAAGAGGAATTAATTCAGAGACGTTCTCTGGGCTGGGCTATACAGGTCAGACTACAGGATCACAATGGTCCCTTCTAGCCTGAGAAGCTATGAATATGTGAACATGAAAAAGATCCTGGGAGGAAATACTGACTCACTGAAGTCAATGGGCTGTTGGCATCAATGGGGCTGGCTTTCATCTTTTGGTTTTGACTGATGTCTAAATATTATATCCAAGAGATGTTAGAGAAAAATATCAAAGATGAATCCTGGAAAGTTGCAGTATAACATGACTTTATTCCTGATAATCCAGAACCCACACAAGACCACCAAATAACAGAGAGACAAAACAGGCTGCTCCCTTAGGCAGAGAGACACCAGTCACCTCACCATAGCTGACTTTCTGCAGACTGACTTTGATTGTGCGTGCTCCCCTACTGAGCTTGCCCGCAGAACCAGGAAACTGCTCAGGATTTAAAGTGGCAGCTTGTCAGTTTGACACAGTGTTCAGCACAACACGGAAGACAGGGAGAGTTGAGTGCTGGCTGAAAATGACAATGAAGATGCTACCAAAAGAAGAGGAAGACCCACCATGGAAGAAAAAATGCCAAAAATGCAGACATCGAGAGACGCAATTTTTTAACCATAATTTCTTTTGAACATTTTTAAAAAATGCTGCTGAAACAAACTCTAAATTAATTTCACCCAAAAAAGAAAATCAAGTTCTGAAAATAGGGTGTTCTGACAAAAAAGAATTGGGCCTGTACAAAAATTGATTGTCACAAGTAACCGATAATACAACCTCAAGGAATCAAAATCACTCTTCTCCTCTAGGAGAGTGGTCCCCTATCTATTTGCCCCCAACTCGACCAGCTCTGATCCCACATTGACTGGGGTTGGACAGATCCGCCCCCCTCTCCGGCAGCTAACAAAATGCTGTCGTGTGATGAGGTAGAAGAAGGGGTAGAAGCAGCTGTTGAAACAGAGCAGGCCATGAGCAAAGATGGTCCCAGTCTCCAGGGACTCTGTTGTCTCTGGAGATGATGCTTTGGGTGAGGTCTGCAGGAAGGCAATTATGTGATACGGGGACCAGCAGAGGAAGAAAATGACATGCAAGATAAGAAGGGTCCGGAGGGGCTTCTTGGACCAAGCCGCCCGTTTCTGGCCCCGTCTGGCAGCCAGGGTGACCAAGCAGATGCTGATCAAGGCTAGTGGGACCAGAAACCCAACCAGGAATCGGATAGCAATGTTGGCTGCTTCTCCACTCTCTCTCAACAAGAGGCTCTGATCGAAGCAGAGGCCATGGTAGCACCAGCTGATGATGACAGCCAGAATCCAGATGCTCAGTGTGACCAGGGAGGCCAGATGGACTGTGCAGTGGTTCTGGGCCCACACGGGGCAAACTGTGGTGGCACAGTGGTCGGCACTGACGGCTGTGAGGTGGAAGCTGCTAGAGAACATGCTGAGGGAGGTGATGATGTTGGTTATCTTGCACAGGACGCTTCTCAAATACCATTTGAAGCCCAGGGCCACCATGAGAGGCAGGAAGACAGTGAAGATAAATCCAGCAATGGCCACGTTCAGGTGCCACAGGGCGTTGACTGTTTTCTTCTTCTGGCACCTGGTGATGAAGATGATGAATCCATTCCCCGTCACACCGAGGATGAAGGTCAGGGTGCAGAGCACCATGAAAACTAGGTGCGTCGTCTCCAAAGGAGCTATGGCGTGAAGATGGGCAGCTGCTTCGTAGGCCATCATCTGGGGATAAGCAGAAGCTGTGCAGTTCTGGGACAAAGCAAACAAAGAAGGAACAAATTTGAAGTCTTAATAACAGAGAGAGAGACAGGACAGAAGTGGATCAGACGCAGTCTAAGCACAGCAGCTCTGGTAGTGCAGAAGGAAAAAAGAAAGCAAATGAGGCTGGTTGAAAAGCGAGAGAAAGCGGGGATGGGGAAGGAGGAGGGGAAAAAACCAAAATGATTTTTTTCTCCACTATCTCTTTTCTACTTTTCCAATGGCCACCAAGAATCCTGCAGCTGGAAGTCAAAAGCCAAAGTTATTGGGCGTTTTAAAACAGAAACAAGATGAAAGTAGCCATTTGAAAGGAAGAGGAAATGTTTCATTGTGGCTAGAAATTTTCAATCAACATTTTCAGTTAAAAAAATAATGCTGTTGAAATCGAACATTTTTTTGCGAAATCCCCAACCTGGAAAGCAAGATTCGTTCCACTTTCAAGAAACTAACTTAAAACAAAAATTGCAATTTGAGACAAAATGACAAAAATTCATTTCCCCCTTTGAATTTCATCCTTGAAAAATGTCGCCGGACTTGAATGGCTTTTGGGAAACACTTTGAGTTCGATGAGATTGTATTTTCCAATGGAAAAAATATTCGGTCATAACCTGTCAGTCAATTCTGGTGCTAAGGCCACTCTCTACTGAACAAGAAAACACAAACCCAGAGTGCAAATACAATGTTATGGCAAAAGATAACGTTACGCTTTCAAAGAGATGGTTAGGGGGTGAGCTTACTCCAGTCTGTAAGTACCCACCTACCTAGAGGAACAAGATCCAATGGCGAGTAGAACACGATCCAATGGCTGGAAGTTTAAAGCTAGAGAAATTCAAACTAGGTGCAATTTAACAGTGAAGAGAATTAACCATTGGGACAATGTACCGAGGGCTGTCGTGGGTTCTACAACAATGGCTATTTTTAAATCAAGGCAGGATATTTTTCTAGAGGATCTACTCTAGTTCAAACAGGAACTATTCTGGGGAAGTTCTCTGGCCTGTGTTAAACAGGAGGTCAGTCTAGATCAGTGGTTCGCAATCTTTCCAGATTACTGCACCCCTTACAGAAGTCACTAAACTGGGAGGAGTGGTAGATACGCTGGAGGGTAGGGATAGGATACAGAGGGCCCTAGACAAATTGGAGGATTGGGCCAAAAGAAATATGATGAGGTTCAACAAGGACAAGTGCAGAGTCCTGCACTTAGGATGAAAGAATCCCATGCACCGCTACAGAATAGGGACCAAATGGCTCGGTAGCAGTTCTGCAGAAAAGGACCTAGGGGTGACAGTGGACGAGAAGCTGGATATGAGTCAACAGTGTGCCCTTGTTGCCAAGAAGGCCAATGGCATTTTGGGATGTATATGTAGGGGCATTGCCAGTGGATTGAGGGACGTGATCGTTCCCCTCTATTCGACATTGGTGAGACCTCATCTGGAGTCCTGTGTCCAGTTTTGGGCCCCACACTACAAGAAGGATGTGGGAAAATTGGAAAGAGTCCAGCGGAGGGCAACAAAAATGATTAGGGGACTGGAGCACATGACTTATGAGGAGAGGCTGAGGGAACTGGGATTGTTTAGTCTGCAGAAGAGAAGAGTGAGGGGGGATTTGATAGCTGCTTTCAAACTACCTGAAAGGGGGTTCCAAGGAGGATGGATCTAGACTGTTCTCAGTGGTAGAAGAGGACAGGACAAGGAGTAATGGTCTCAAGTTGCAGTGGGGGAGGTTTAGGTTGGATATTAGGAAAAACTTTTTCACTAGGAGGGTGGTGAAGCACTGGAATGCGTTACCTAGGGAGGTGGTGGAATCTCCTTCCTTAGAAATTTTTAAGGTCAGGCTTGACAAAGCCCTGGCTGGGATGATTTAGTTGGGGATTGGTCCTGCTTTGAGCAGGGGGTTGGACTAGATGACCTCCTGAGGTCCCTTCCAACCCTGATATTCTATGAAGTCTGATTTGTCTTGCGTAGCCCCAGGTTTCACCTCACTTAAAAACGACTTGCTTACAAAATCAGGCATAAAAATAGAAAATCATCACAGCACACGACTACTGAACAATTGCTGACTTTCTCATTTCTTCTGTGTGAAATTTCAGTTTGTACTGACTTCGCTAGTGCGTTTTGTGTAGCCGGTTGTAAAACTCAGCAAATCCTCGATACATTGATGTACCCCCTGGAAGACCTCTGCGTACCCCCAGGGGTACATGAACCCCTGGATTAGATTATCCCAGTGGTCCCTTTGGGGCTTAGAATCAATGACTTAGTTATGGGGCTTTCAACAGAGAAGTGGTCTCTTTCGTCTCAATGGGCAGGTAAGCTGTGATAAATAAAGGTGGGAATTAGCTCTCTTTGATGGACACCCAGCCAGGCAGTTAGCTGTAAAATCCCTCTTGGTAGCTGTTCTTTACTAGCTTTACCGGTAAAGGGTTAAAAAGTTCTACCTTCCCACTGCCTTTTTTGATCAGGTGCCCACTTTTCTTTTTTCTTTTTTAAACCTGGGGGACTTTTTAACCCATTACAGTTAAAGCAATTAGAGAACAGCTACCAAGAGGGCTTTTACAGCTAACTGGCTGGCTTTTACAGCTAACTCCCCCCGCCTTTATTTATCACACAAGCTTTGTAAGGCTTTTGCCTGTTGCAGAGCAGTTGCATAAAAGGAGGCGTAATAGAGCTGGACAAAACATTTTTTCAGCGGGAAACTGGGTTTCGAGGAAAGGAAAATTTTCATGGGAGGTGTCAGAAAGTGTGAAAAAAGAATGATTATTTTTAGTGGGGAAACTGCAAATCAACATATTTCATCCAAAAATAGTTTGGCTTTTTGCGGTTTTCAGCCAGCTTTTTTCTTTAGTTTGTTTTCTGTAGTTCTTGGCCTAAATATTTTAGCCAGAAATGTTCAGTTTTCCATCTCCCCCTCCCTCCATACACACACACACACACACACAGTTCAGCTTTCGGTTGCTACTCTCGCTCTCTCTCTCTGTTTTTCCAACCAACCATCATTTTTTTCTGCAGAAAATGATTGATGAAAGCAATTCCCCCCTCGCCCTTTTCATTGAAATCTTCCCTGGAGAAACCCCCCATTTCCCAATAAGCACTATTAATGAATACTCCTGCTGTCTTTCCACATCAGGTCTTACAAGAGGAATTCAGGGCAGATGAAGAGTCCAGGAGATGAGTCAGAAACAAAGAACAGTGTCTTTTAGGAGCTTACGCTCAAATAAATGGGTTAGTCTCTAAGGTGCCACAAGTCCTCCTTTTCTTTTAGGAGCTAGATTCCAGCAGCGACAGAGAGAGAGATCTAGACCTGACAGAGCTGCTCCGCGGGCATGGGGCAGTGGTAACTTTGGCTGATGCCTCTCTAGAAAAGCATTGTATTTGTGAATTAAGGACATGTGTGTTCATGCTGTAAATCAACAAACTGCACTAAGGAACGCTCCAGATTTTGCGTCACTGGTGCTGCATCCTCCTGGGAAACCAACTTAGCTCAGCACCAAATCTGCCTTTGTTTAACAAAGGGATACAAGAGAACATCTCCTGTGCCAGGTTGACCATACCTGTTCCTCCTCACCCATACCACTCCACACCATCGATTGCTGATCCATGCTGACAGACAGAGGGAGACGGAGCACAGAGTGTCTGCAGAGACTACAAACTCCACCAATCCTAAAAAGAAATTAACTGACCTGCCTCGACTCAAAATTGGCTTCTGCTTCGCAAAGGACCATTGACAAAGCATCCAAAGAAAGGGATGAGAGAGGAAGAGATCATAACCACAGCAGCAAGACAGTGGAAAGTGGAATAGGAAGGGTCTTTGGAGATCACTAACTCTGCACAGTCTGGGATGAAATTAACTAACCTCACACATCAAAATTGGTATCTGTTTGGTCAAGGGATGTCAATTCAAGTCTCTGAGGCAGGGAGTGATAAAGAGAGGGAAATGCCCCCACTGAATGCAGAAAGCCAGAGGGAGACGGGGCCGGGAGTGGCCGGGAAGAAATTAATCAACCACTTTTGCAAAGACTGAGAGGTTCCCAAAGACAACCAAGGATTGAAGAAGGGGAAGGGATGCAAGGGGGGTGATCCAGATGATGGAAGCGGGGTTCTCCTTCAAAACGGGGAGGGGAAGAGAAAGAGATGGCAAGGAGGATCATTTTCTTACCTGTGCCTCAGGTGGCCGTGGCATCGTAGCGTCAATCCTGCGTGCTCGACGTGGCTAACAGAGATGGTCTCTGTCTGGGGCAGGAAGCTGTTCTGATGTGGGTTTTGCTGGGTGGGGGGAAGGTGCAGATGGGGGTTGGGTCCAACAGCCTCTGCAAAGCCTCAGAGGCTTCAGGCATTTCTTGCTGTGATCTGAAAGTCATGTGGTCCCCCCCCACCCCCAGCTCTTGCTGTGCAGAATCAGCACCATGGTTCTAAGAGACAAAGACTGACATCCAGGGCTGTTTTGAGGAGCCCTGCTGGGACACAGCCACGTTCTGGCATGGCCCCGGCCCCTTCTCACCAAGGGAAACAGAGATGGAGGTCATCTTGATTAAGTATTGTGCTGTGGCCCCTGGGAAAACTCCACTGAGGATGACTAGCTTTCTGGGGATTGCCGAGAGCAGACTGTGAAGGAGCCAGGGCTGGCAGTCAGGACTCCTGGGTTCCATGCCTGGTTCTGGGAGGGGAGTGGGGTCTAGTGGGTTAGAGCAGGAAGACTGGGAGTCAGAACTCTGGGGTTCTATCCCTGTCTCCATGAAGAGGTGAGAACATAGGCACGGAAATGGACAGGTTTTACACTGCTCAAACCCACTAGACCCCACTCCCCTTTGTTTTCTGTAAGTACAATGGCTAGAAACAATTTTTTTCAAATGAAAGCTGAGGTTGTTTCCAGGAGCTGGAGGTTATATGAAATATGGTGCGAATCATGATAAAATCATGAAAGGTACCAACACTGCAAATGGCTTATTTGGGAAGAATTACTCTGTTTCA